TTGAGCCCTTTGAAATATTTTCTTCCCCAGTCTAGTGGAGAAGGGGGAGAGAGCAGCTGTGTGGGCACCTGGCTGCCGGCCAGGGTCAAACCACTACACACCTTCACTAACAAAGAAATCAAAGAGAATCTAATGCTTGCAAGAAAGGAGAGATTATCTACAGCCTTTCTTTCTCTACCCCACAGGCTAGGTATTTCATTAGGTGGTGGTACTGCCCAGCAGCATATCTATTCCCAGACAACATGCTCACTAAATAACTCACAGTATGGAGATTTTGCTGCATTACATCACTGTGTATTTAAGATACACCCTTATCTCTTCATTTGTACAAAACAACTCCAAATCAACATACATACACACATACTTACTTTCTGAAGGCAAAACAGGTCCACCAATCATTCGAGACAAACCAACAGCATAGTCGCAGACATCAACATACTCCTGCACCTCCCCAACACCCTCAACAAAAATCTTTCCCATTTCCAAAGAAACCTGAAAAAATTAAAAGCAAGACAAAATTATTTTTTAAAAAATTCCCCAAATACATTTTGTTTCCCATTAATGTCAGGTATATCTGTACATGAAGTAATATTTAACACATGTTTTTTATTACAAGACATTCACCTCGTCCCAAGTTATTCACAGCTTAAAGAAAGAACAAAACAGACAACTAGACAGGAGTCACATTACCATATAATAGAGGTAAATTGATGAGCAAAGGAAATTAAAAATAAATCTACTGAAAGGAGTATCCAAGAGTAATGAGGCTCAGGAGTTTATATAAATAGAACACTGGATTTCTATCAGGACATTTGCATACATTGTAGATCAAGGATGGAATAAATTGAAAAAGAGGGATTAGTCTGCTCCAGGCAAAAAAAAAAAAAGAAAGAAAAATCTCATCTACATTTTTCATAGGAAATTACTCATTTCAGAACATCTCAAAACCAGTTCGAAATATTTCCCTTTCAGACACTGTTGAAAATGTCTATATGTCTTTAGGATTTCAGAAACCTGGGATCTTTGGATCCTTTTTTTTTTTTTTTGTAGCTGAAGTCAATCCCAAATTGTGTCCTTCTGTTAACATCATGTTAGATGTGCACAGCACACAGAGATTATTAATAAGCTGGCATTTCAAGTCATTTTGCTCCAAAAGGGAGAAAACTCATGAACTTAAGAACTGTGAAGTCATCCACATACTCCTACTTAATTTTACAGTCATGCTCTGATATCTAGGTGTGACTTTCACGCAGATACCACCTGCACCTAAGACAGATGATTACACATTGAGAAAGCTGTTACGCGACAAATCGGGTTTGAAGGATTGCCACAATATTTCATTCCCCATGCAAAGTTTAAACTAATGGTGACTAAATGTATTTCTAGGTATTTCTGCAATGCCTGTGGTCTCAATACAGAAGCAAAAGGCCCTACCTGTGACCAGAAATGGAGGAGCATTGGACATATTTACTAAGAAACACAGATGAGAGTCTGTACGTGAAGCAGAGCTACATCTAGATACTTGACAAGGGCATTGTGAGGCGAGGCTGGAAATTTCCAATGGCATACGAAAAGGTGAGTTGCTGTACCATTCTCTTTTACATACCCTAAGCCAGAAAAAGTCGGATCTGGATACCTACTGCACAGCACTCACTCTGAAGTTCACTCCCTATCCTAGAAGGGCTTTCCCTGTTTGGGAAAATTAGAAAAACACTCTGGCAAAAAGGAACAAGTTTTGTCCAAGGAACAGAGAGCAAATGGTTTGTCCACAGTCACCAGGGAAGTTGTACCATTTTTGAATACAAAACTACATTAGCACTCTAATTTCACCACAGAACCTCTGCTGAGGAGATCACATCAAGGGAAAGACCAGAACAAAGTTTTGTAGGTTAACAATATGGGCTTGACTGCACATGGAGTTATTCACTGACAGCTGTTTCTGAACAGCAGCACATACAGGCAAGTCCTGTAAAAGGGAAGTGGCAAGTTCCCCACTCGTCTCCTCTTCTTCCCTAGCAACTAGCAAGTGTTTTAAAGGAGCAGTCCTTCAACCTTCATATCCTGCACAGCACTGCAAGAAGATCTCATTAAGACAATCTCACCTTCTGAAGCCTTATACCTCCACATGTCAGTTCGCAAAATCCTGCAGATCACCAGAAAGAGCTCAAGGTTAAAAGCTCTGTATTAGAAGAAAGTCTTTTTCAGGACACTTTTAGTATCAGACAGTGCCCTATCTGACAGACAATTGGCAAAACAGCAGGATAACAGTTGTAACATTCCTCCTGGACAGAGTATAGGCTCAGAATGAATTACATTTTCTTTTCCTATTATATATTATCATTTTTCAAATTTCTTTCAGTTTTTCGTTTTTCCCTTTTTAAATTACAATTTCTCTAGGCAAGCTAACAGAACTAAAGACATTTTAACAATTATTATGGTTAGTATAGCAGAGAGGTATGTTGAAAAGCAAGAAAACAGTTTTGACATGCCACTCCCCCACCAGAGTTAAGCTGCTTCTTAAAACACCTTACCAAGCTTCCAAGAACTTTGATTTTTTGTCTCAAGGCATCACCAATCTGTCGCACTATTTCTCCACGCTTAGGTGCAGGGATCTAGTCAAAACAAAAGAAAACAGAAAAATCTACTTGACATGGAACATCTGCAACTTCTGCTGCATACATTCAGCTAGCTTTTTATCCCTGCAGTAAGAAATCACTGACTGCTGTGCTTTTTCCCCTATCTTCCCAAAACATCGTTACTTGTTTATTTTTGTCGCATGCATTGCTTTAGAAGAAACTTCCCTGCCTCAGACTGATAACACCGCATACATTTATGTCCATCCAAAAGTTCAGTTCCAGTGAACACTGCCAGAAGCATTCATATTATTAGTTCTGCTACTTCCGTCCCAGCTACATCACCCACAATGACCCCAAACAATCAGCTGCATCTCAAGAAACAAGCATTTTTTATAAAAGCACACTTACTGATTTCTCAGCTTTTGCAGTACACATAACACCACATTTTTAAACTTTTTACACAGTATGACAATGTCTGCTGGTATTTATTTTGTTAGCAGACGCTGAGATATAAAGAAACCCCAATCATGGAAAATGTAAGACCATACACCAACTATTAATAGGGTTTTTTTTAATACAGTATTAGTATGTTACATAATAATCAATAGCCAAGACCAACAATAAACTACACATGCAGCAGGATTAGAAACTGATGATGAGCAGCATTTTTTTCTGGAAAGAGAGGAAAAAAACCACATAAACCATATAAGCATATCTCTTTACAGGCAAAACCTTTACACAAGTTCATTACAAACAACAAAATTCACAAACTAAAACCAAACAGTTTTGACATGAGGCTTTAAAGCATTTAATATGTTGATTCTTTGTTATCTGTTAGACTGCTTTCAGATTATTTCCAAACACATTAGGAGCTGGCATGTGCTCAGCAACACGATATTCACAAATTGTAACAAACGAACACATACTAACATATCCTACAGAAGCTGTCTTTGTCTTAACCTTTGTTCTCTTCTGGCAAGGCAAATTATTTTGCTGGATAAACTACAGAACATCCAAATTTAGGTTTCAGCTGAACCAAAGACAAGGCAGGAGAAAGCAGGTGGGGAAAGGAAGCTAAACACACAGGGATAATTTGCCTGCTACAAGGTTTCTGAACTTCAGAAGACCTGTTGGCAATGGCTTGCAGGCACAAACCTGAGTAGATAAGCCAAGCTCATCAAAACAAATATTCTCCAGAAGTCAGTGTCCTCATCCTTGTACCTCAATGATAGCACATGCAAGTTGTCTGGGTTTCTTTCTTTAGGTCCTCACTGCAGATATTTGTTCTAATGCAACATAGGCAACATAAACATGGTTTTGCCCCTCCACCCAACAGGGCAATTTAATGGCCTTTACCTGCCAGAGACACATTATAGAAGTCTCTGTCAACTTACATCAGCCCAGACTTTCCATGCTTCTTTAGCCTTCTTTACTGTTTCTTCATAATCCTCCAAACTGGCCTACAGAAAGAAGTATGTCAAAGAAAAAGTTAGCAAAACTAAAATCCCAACACAAACGTCACAGAAAAGCTCCAGCATCCAACTAAAGATGTTTCTAGCAGGTAGTACTGCACTACAGAATACCACTTTCATGGGACATTTATATACTGCCATAGTTTGGTAACCAGTATGGCATGTTGAGTTGCCTGAGGTTACTGTCAAGGCAAAACATATGTGCTGCCTAAAAAAAAACCAAGACCACCAAAAAGCAGCAGACACCTGGGAGACCTTATTAACATATACAAATATCTGAGGGGTGAGTGTCAAGGGGAAGGAGACAATCTCTTCTCAGTGGTGCCCAGTATTAGAACAAGAGACAGGTTTAAGTTAGTACGCAGGAAGTTCCACCTCGACATGAGGAAAAATTTCTTTACTGTGAGGATGACAGAGCACTGGCACAGGCTGCCCAGGGAGGTTGTGGAGTCTCCTTCTCTGGAGACTTTCAAATCCCACCTGGATGCGTTCCCGTGTAGCTGCCCTAGGGGATCCTGCTCTGGCAGGGGGGCTGGACTAGATGATCTCTAGAGGTCCCTTCCAACCCCTGACATTCTGTGTTTCTGTGATTCCTTCAGATGACAAAGGATGCTCCATAAACAATAGCTGTAAGGGAGGCATTCATCACATATTCCTGTATCTTCTTTTATCTTAGATACCACTGTTATCAATGAAATTAAACAAAGGCTGTGAGGACTGTGACTACTTCACCAGCCCCACTAGGCACCAACTGCTAACTGAATCCTAACGCACAAAAGGAGCAGGCTGGTGCCACGGCACTATTCTCACACTAGAAACCTTCACAAACTTACCACCCGAATGCCACGTTGCTCTCCTCCGTATCGCACAGCCACTGCCCACCCCTGTCCCGCAGCTCCCTCCAGAACACAAACGAAAACGGGCTGGGGAGGTCCTCGCTCTTCCCAACA